TATATTACAACTGTATTGATAATTGCCAAGAACTGCTAATTAGGAATTGCCTGCTAGAACTTTGTGGAGAAATAATGTATGCATTTTTAATTAACCGGACAGCCGTTTTGCATCTTTGCATAGGCCCACTTTGCATTTCACAAGTTCTGCTTTGTCATGTAACAGTTTGCAGATTTGGGGGACCTACAATTTGAGAGGATCTCCTGGCCGGTTTAGCATTTTCGTAGGTCCGCTTTGTCCTGTAATAGCCTAGACAGACAGTGTCTGCAGCCGCAGACAACCCATTGTCCGGTATTCATTGTTAGCTACCGCCTGATATCACAACATACACACCTCTGGCTTTCTAGCACATTTCATGAAAATTCGTATGGGCAGGGGTTGACCTGCTCACACCAAGGGCCATTAGAATTAAGATGCGTGTAAAGTCCAACCCCTGTACGGGGCGGTCTCTGCCTAAGAAGATAAATTTGACCACAGATGATAGCTCGGCACTCCTTGATGATGGGGTTCCTGCGGAAGCTCTGTTTCTCTGAGCCCAGCGCTGTATGGCTTTACATGTGACCAGACTTTGATTAAATTTTCTGTTGATTTTATACAGTCCTCTTCTGTCTTCACTTCTCGCACTTTCAATTAAAGAACTGGGTCTAACACTGAGATGCTGAAGGCTTTGGACATAGTTGGGTTATCTTGCTTGACACACCTCTTCAATGTTGCATGAAGGATGGGGACAGTGCCTGTGGACTGCCAGATTGGAGTTCCCATTTTTAAAAAAAGGGGACCGGAGAGTGTGATCCAATTATCGGGTATCACACTACTCAGCCTCCCTGGGAAAGCCTATGCCAGGGTGCTAAAAAGCAGTGATGTGTCGGTCACAAAAGAAACAGCTCTGTATGCCCACACTGAGCAGGAGGGGAAGGGGCGGGGGTTACAGACACAACACACACACACACACACACACACACACACACACACACACACACACACACACACACACACACACACACACACAGAAAGAAACTGGAGGAAGGGTGCCGCAAGAGAGAGAAAGAGAGAACAGCCGCTACAGAGACAACACGCTAGAAAGGTGAGAAAATGAGTGGCCGCAGGAAATGCAGTAAAATTTGGATGTATTTCAATTACATCAATAATACAAAGCCAGAGTGTAGCAAGGTTAAAATCTCATATTGAGCAGGCTCTATAAATAACTTGCACAGGCACATTAGAACTGTCCATCCATCAGTGCAGTTGGAAGAAAAAAGACAAGCAAGTGAACCTCCTACTAATGAAAGTGCCAGTTTGTTTACTGCAACTGTTGCTGCTGCTGCAGTGTCTACAGTGTCATCCAGTACACCACCACAACCACCTAGACCTACAACCCAGAGCTCTATGAGACAGCAAAAGGCTATAACCCCAGTAAGACAGAACACAATTGATGAGGAATTGGCTAAAATGATTGCATGTGATTTCCAACCATTTTCAGTCATGGATGACAAAGGATTCAGCTTTACTGATGCTCTCAATCCAATGTTTGTAATTCCAAGCAAGAAAACTCTCTCCCACAAAATTATCCCAAGCCTATATGACAGAGAACATGCTTCACTGCAAGAGAGAGTGAAAAAAACCCACAGCAGTTTGCCTGACAATTGACTGCTGGACATCCCGAACCACCACATCCTACATGTCAGTTACATGCCACTTTGTTGAAAATTACAAAATGGTGTCCTGTCTTCTGGATTGTTTTGAGTTTATTAACAAACTAACTAGATCTCTAGGCTGAAAAGAAATGAGGTAGCAAAGCTTTAAAACTAAAATAGTTTTTTTATGGCAATAATGTGATCCATATGCTGAACTTTATACCAAAAACAAGAAAACAAACTAAAAAAAATGTACAAACTTATAAAGTATAAAGTGGAACAGCAACCACCACTTTGCTATACTGTACCTCTTCTTCTTCTTCCTCTCCCTCTTCTTGAGTTTTTCCAGGTCTTTCTTGGCCAGCTCAATGACATCACTGGCCTCCTTCTCAGGGGTGAAGGGAGTAGGCGAGAAGAAGCCAGGGCCTCCATACAGTGAGGAGCGTGTGGAGGCCCGTGACAGGTTCTTTCTGAGGTTCTCATTCACAGCTTCACTTTCAAAAAGTTTAGCTCTGATGGAAGGGGAGAGTTATCACTGTCACAAAGCATAAGCAACATATTTACATAACATTTTTCCTGCTGTGCTGACTTGTTTCATGTCTTTTACCTACATTTTACCTTATCGCCTCTATAAATGTAGGTCAATGATGCTGTGTGCATTTATTTAAAGAATGAGGCATGCAGTCATGTGCTTATTTAACCACTGATCTAGGTAGAAGAGGTTAAATTCAAATAAATAATTATATAAATAAATAAATAAGCTCCATACATACCTGAGCTCCTCGATTTCTGTAATGTAGTTCTGAATCATGATTCCAATCTCTTCATTGCTTTCACCTAGTAGCAGAAACACAACACTACCTTTTAAACAGTGATTCTGGTAACTTGTCAGGGGCGTGTACAATTAACATCACCACAAAATAAAAACTATTTCGGAAACTTTCTCTGTTGAACTAGCTTACTTCATCATCAACATGTCAAATAGCCTGCAAAAACATAGGCATCTGGCTCGGCTGTACATTGTGTTTAGTACTAATGTACTAGCAATGTACGCGTGCTAACATGCTAAACTAAAATGCTGAACACTGTAAACAAACCTGCT